GAAGGGGGGTTGCTTTTTGCCCGCTGCGTGCCTCCATGCCTGTCTTTCCCTTCTTTAGGAAGGAGACGTCAGGCAGACAGACTGTTCCAGAGGGGAAAAAACCCGGGTAGGAAGAAAGCTTTTGCCGGCGGGCCCCACCGGTACCGGAGATGCGCGGCCCGGGGCAGGCTGCGGGAGAGCGTGAGGAGCTGCCTCCGCCTGCGCTTTTCTGAGAGGGAGAAAAATCATGTTAAAAGCTGGACCCGATCCTTGGAGCGCAGCCCCGCTGAGCAGGAGGTGGGATTATTCCGAGGTAGTGATGGAGAGCTGTAACCTGGCAGCGGGGTGTTAAAGCCACTTGTCGCCGCTGGAAGAGGGACCCGCTGCGGGCACCGCCGGCCTGGACCAGGGGGGGTCACTCTGGTCCTTCTCCTCCTTTTGCCCTTCTTTTTACTCCCAGTGAGCCACAGAAGAAAGAACTGGTGCTCGGCTCTTTCCGGTGTTGGGAATACCGTGCCTTTGGCCTGGGATGCTTTGCCCTGATGTGCTGCTTCGACGGGATGTACAAAGTGTGGCCGGAACTGATCCAGCCAACAAAGTTTGCAGAGTGATCAGCAGGGACCATGGGATGGATGGAGGCAGCTGAGCACATGGCGGGGTCTGTCCCGCATGGTCCGACAGCTCAGACCTACTGCTCCCTTGAAAAATAACTCCTGATGGTCCAACTCTGGTGGCTTCTGTTTTTACTTCTCTCCTGCCAATTTGCACTTTCAGGGAAAAAACACACACACACGCCTGATGCAATGCAGTGTTTCTGTGTTGGTTTTGTATGTAAGATTTGCTATGCAATTCCAAAACTAAAAGAGGAGGAGAGATGGCCCTGCATCCCAGAGCAAACAGAGAATCAGAGGTGAAAGGTAGGAGCCAGCATTTCTCGTTTAAATAAAACCAAATAGCCTGAGCTACTTCATACTGAAAACCTTTAAAACACACCTAATGTATGTTTATTTTCTTTGTCTCGGAAGTGTAAAACTTGAACAGTTTGAAACAAAGTGAAGAACTGCTGTCTGATGCTGCCCAGAAACAGAACTGATGTGTTTTGTAACGGGAGTGTACTGAGGAGGAAGGATGGGGTATTTCATCAGTGAAACATTTAGGAGACTAAACTAGAGAAAAAGCACTTCGTGTGGTACGCTTCAGTAAATATGAAGGGCTAGTGCGATGGACGCTGGAAACACTCGATCAATAGCCTGTTTAAGTGGGAATATATGCAAGCATGGACAAGTGATTGCTTTCCTGTTTGTGGGGTGTATTTGCAGAGGACAGCAGCAGAACATTTGCAGGTGAGCTGTCTGAATTAGGCTGCTTCATGCTGGGGTGGTGCAGTGTGTTTCTGAAGGGATTGCTGAAAAAACAGTCTGTAGGGTGGACTGTATTTGTGCATTTTCAGTTCCTGCTCATGCAGATTTCAGTGTTGTTCCGGGAGAGTCAGAGTGGGTGAAGTCCATCTGGGGGTTAAGGAACCGTAAAAAAGGACCTTTGGTTTGTGTGGTAATGAGTAATTAATGGACGTCTGATGTATGTGATCTCTACAAGGAAAGGAGCTGATGTCATCATGAAAATCATAATATGATTTTCCCTCAGGAGAAACTATGACTTGGAACGACACCACTATGGACGGGGAAGGGTTGCTGGTGGAAAGGGACTCTTCCTTTCGGATCCTCACGGGCTGCTTCCTCTCGCTGCTCATCCTCTCCACACTGCTGGGAAACACTCTGGTCTGTGCAGCTGTCATTAGGTTTCGCCACCTCAGGTCCAAGGTGACCAACTTCTTTGTCATCTCCTTGGCCGTGTCAGATCTCTTAGTGGCAGTTTTGGTCATGCCATGGAAAGCTGTGGCTGAGATTGCTGGTTTCTGGCCTTTTGGTTCATTTTGCAACATCTGGGTAGCCTTTGATATTATGTGCTCAACAGCCTCCATCTTAAATCTCTGTGTCATTAGTGTGGACAGATACTGGGCCATCTCCAGCCCATTTAGGTACGAGAGGAAAATGACCCCCAAGGCAGCCTTCATCATGATCAGTGTGGCGTGGACTTTGTCTGTGTTGATTTCCTTCATCCCTGTGCAGCTGAACTGGCACAAGGCTACAACTACAAGCTTTTTGGACCTAAACGCCAGTTTAGAAGGTATAAGCATGGACAACTGTGATTCTAGCCTAAACAGGATGTACGCCATTTCCTCTTCTCTGATTAGCTTCTATATACCTGTGGCCATCATGATAGTGACTTACACCAGGATATACCGGATTGCTCAGAAGCAAATCCGACGCATCTCAGCTTTGGAGAGAGCAGCTGTGCACGCCAAGAACTGCCAGAACACAAGCGGCAACAGGAGCAGTATGGACTGCCAGCAACCGGAGAGCAACTTCAAAATGTCCTTCAAGAGGGAAACGAAGGTTTTAAAGACGTTGTCAGTGATCATGGGGGTATTTGTGTGCTGCTGGTTGCCATTTTTTGTATTGAACTGCATGATTCCCTTCTGCGAGCCTACCCAACCATCCAAGGGAGCAGAAGCTTTCTGCATTAATTCCACCATCTTTGATGTTTTCATTTGGTTTGGATGGGCTAATTCTTCCCTCAACCCCATAATTTATGCCTTCAATGCCGATTTCCGCAAGGCGTTTTCGACTCTGCTAGGATGCTACAGGCTCTGCCCTATGTCCGGCAATGCTATAGAGACTGTTAGTATTAACAATAACGGAGCAGTTGTTTTTTCGAGCCAACATGAGCCCAAAGGCTCCAGCCCCAAAGAGTCTAATCTGGTTTATCTGATTCCACATGCAATTATCTGTCCAGAAGAAGAACCTCTCAAAAAGGAAGAAGAGGGTGAACTATCTAAGACCTTGGAGAAAATGTCTCCAGCACTGTCAAGTATCTTGGATTATGAAGCTGATGTTTCTTTGGAAAAGATCAATCCTATTACACAAAATGGGCAGCATAAAACCTGAACAGTCAGGTTTACCCAGCAAGACCTAATAGTGTATATTGTAGTAATCTTAAAAAAGAAGAAAAGGTATACAAGATTTTTTTGTAAGAAACTAATCTCTAGGGAGACATACACGTTTACACCAAGCCCAGAATTAATTTTCCTGGCATTCAAAGCAAATTTAACATTTAAAACAATAAACAGAAAAAGATCCTGAAAATTGGTTAAAAAAGGATATTAAGCTCTGCTGTTCATACTGAGGAAAATATATAAATTTAGGTACAGTGCAGTGAGAAAGAAAATATTGCTTCCTCTCTACACAGAGAAACCGATTTCTAGCTTAAGATGAAGCAAAAGATAAATGTTAAGTATTTAAAGATTAATGTTTACTACAAGTTGAAAGATTGCTGTGTCTTGTGATAGTGGGTGTTAACAGGTCCTAATTAAAGACTGAGGGATTGTAAAGGTAGGTAGATGCCTTCTTAAAATTATTTCTGACAAATAATTGAGCCTTATAATGAGAATGGTTATTTTTAAAGCTTTGGGAGGTAATATCTTGATAACTGGTTTTATTTATTTATTGTTTTAAATTGATATTTTTCATATGTTATAACAGATCTAGCTTTATTTATGTTATTTAAGATGTATAAATAATGGGATATTTTTGGAGTGTCATAACTGCAACCAGTCAGCACTTTATTACAAGCTCTGATAGTCTGGAGAGCTGGTGAGGGGAACGAAGGAATGTTGAGAAGCTCTGCAAGAAAGGAAGGAATCAACAAAACCGATGCTGTGTGGAGTTCGTTTGCTTGTGGGCTTTTTTTTTTTTTTTTTAAAGTGGGATTTCTTTCAAAAGATAGGACCAGTGTTGACTGAGTTGTGAATTCTCTTCCCTTATAGAAATACAAGAAATTGCTGCTATTTATTTTTAAAAAGTTTCATGTTACAAAGACTTTGCTAGAATGTCAAGTTTGTGGATCTGTAAATACCTTAAATATGACTACAACCTTAAGAAGAATCCAATTTGAGAAGAAAAAGCTTCTTAGATAACAATTCTTAGTATCTAATGTTTTGTATTTATGTAAGATAAACAGCTTTCTCAGACTTTTCTTATTTCAAGTCTTGGATATCTTTTCTGAACAAACACGACTGGTTACAATGGTAGTAAACATGCCAAACCTCATTCTCGTCTGTATTCCTGCAGTACCACCGGGATCATGCTGTCTGTCTGCTCCTGTGTTGCCGTCAGAATTAAAAAGTGAGGTACCTAGTGCTTTACTTTGGAAACTAGGAGGACGTTACATTTTAGTAATTACCATGTCAGTGGTCCGTTCAATAAGGAATAGTGCCTCATTACCATTTTGGATTCAGACATTTCTAAATACGGATGGAACCGCAGCCCCCCACCTCAGAAACGTCCTGTGAGCTCCAAAAACGTTGCCAATGTTTCATTCAAAAAAACTGCTGCTTTTCCACTGTCCTTCCCTGCTGCTTTCCCTTTGTAATGCCAAAAGCAATCAGTGAACATTAGCAACAGGAACACTGAGTGTTGATATTCAGCAGCATTCAAAGAAAGCTATTTGTTTTCTGAATGGGAGAAAAATACCCTTTGGAGCAACTTTGTCATAACATATATCAAAAAAATGTGTTGTCAGGAAAAGAGAACTGAGAGGAAAAAAAAATTTAAAGTCTAATGAACTATATACATCCTGCATCAGGTCTGTGTATTTATGTATTGTGAATGTTTTCATAATTTTATTGCCTGTATGCTGCTTTCATACATATAATAAAATTATTTTGTGAACAGAAGGTCAAATAAACCAATCTACATTGCATTTGTTAAATACATGCTGGTTTTTGGCAGTGGTATTGATTGTGTTAAACGCAAGGATGGTTCCTGTTTTCCCGTTTGCCCTTGTTTGGGATCACACCCTTGAGGCAGATGGGAAAGATGGAGATTTTTATTAGAAGCAGGAGAGTCTTCTCTACTGAGAGACCTCTGAGCCCCTGCCCCAAACTAGGATTTGAAAGCAGTAAACACACTTTGGGAACAACCCCATTCTGCTTTAATGAGACGAGTTAAAGTGTGTAAAACTCAACCTACTGGTGACTCCTATTTTGATGATTTTTTTGCCTTGGTGTACAGAGTAGTGAACTGGGCTGACAGCATGCTTCTATTGTTGCTTTTTTTTCTTATTAATTTTATTTTTTTTTTACCAACCCATGGAGTACTTTTCAAGTCCTAATACAGCCCCACTGCTTGTGTCTGGTTTTTGGAACAAAACGAATAATTTCAGGTGTGAGACGATGGTGGGTGCAGCTGAGGTACAGCAGCAACCCCTGTTCGTGGCAGCCCTCTGCTTTGCTTTTGCCTCTCTCAGCAGGTTCCTTTCAAAAAGGAAACAAACCAAACGTGGTCACTTCTGTCTCAGACATTACCAGTACGACCCGTTCAGCAGCTGGGATCTGAGCTGGCGCAGGAGCTGGGGTGATGTCCTGCTCCCCGTCCCTGGGTGCTGACCTCCCTCGGTCGGTGAGAGCAGCGGGTCTGACGGCAGGTGGGGAGCCATGGCTGCCTCCCTCCAGGCTTTCTCAGCTCCTTGGGTAAAATTTCCTTGCGTGGTGATGATACCTGTTTTTTTTCTTTACTCTTGAGGAATTATTTTACTTCTTAAAAGGTGCACCAGCCAAAGATGGCATTCTGTAGTTGCTTAGTCAAATACATTGGCTTTTATTCTCAGAACTCCCAGCACTCTGATATCACCGCAAAATGTAATTTAAGGAGATCATGTGAAGCAAGATGCTGTTTTTGTACTAGTTTATATGGGAATGATTTGTATTCTGAAACAAATGGTTGCTCTGGTGTGACCAGGAGCCGTCCCAGGACCTCCCCCCTTGCAGAAGGATCTGGGTTTCTGGGGGCTCTGCGGGGGCGGTGGGGAAGGGCTGCCTGCTGTTGCTGCAGGGTGCTGCCCTTTGGTGCGACAGGTTCCTGCTAGAGGCAGGGCAGGGGAGACACTTTGATGAGTTTATTTTATTGTTTTCTCTCTCATTCTGTTTAGACTAATTTTTGCTTCTGCCTGCTTTCCCTTACATACATTTTACAATCACATGGGTTTGCCTTGAACCTCCTTTTCCTATGTACCCATTTAGCCCTTCATTTCCCAGCCTTCCCAACGCAGGTTTTTTTCTCTGCCCTCTCCACCTTTCCTCCCACCGCTGCCAGAGCTGTTCTGTTGCTCCATTTGGATTAATTGGCCCCAATAATCCTTTTCTTGGGCAAAAGTCCAAGTCAAACTCTGCCCCTCCAGCACAGCCACGAGTCCCCTTCCCACAGCCTGCACCCAGCTCCACCTCTCTTACCTGTCGCTGAGCCTGGAGACCAGCATCAGGGGCGACTAGAAGGGACAGCAGCATGTACCTGTAGCTGCTGCTCTATTTATGTCCATCTGACCTGCATTAATTGCTCGGAAGCTGTATTACCTGTTCTGTGCCTGCTCTCCAGCTGCTTGAATCCAGTGCTCTGCTGAAAGTACCGGTTACCCCAATGTCAGGCTGCACCCCAGGGGCTGGAGACATGCCAGACCCGCGCTGACAGCAGGGAGTTGACTGGTGAGGTTTGGCTGTAGTAACCCTGCGAGTAACCTGCGAGGAGCGCTCACTGCTCCGTGCCAGCAGTTTGGGAGGATGAGAGCAGCAGCAGTTCATTTGCAATAACATCACGTTTGAGATAACAGCCACTTCGGTGAAACGCTTCCCCAGGATCGTTGCTCTCGCTGTGTGCTGCAATACGCTGCTGGGCAGAGGCAGAGCCACCGAGGAGCAGCGGGGTGCCGGGACACCAGGACATCACTGCTCCCGCCAGGACGGCCACCTCGTCTACCCCACAGGTGTCAGGTGCTTCTCTCCCCGCCTTGCCTCCCAAAAGCAGTATTTTCCTCTACAGAGCGAGCCTTGCTGTGTGCCTTTCTGATGTGCCCGCAAATTACCTGTGTAACCTTTTTTTCTGCATTGCTTCCTCGTGACTGGAGGTATTTTGCTATTTGTAGATGGAAGAAGTTAATAATTCACCTGATGGCCTTGATGAAGGAGCTGTTTGGAAGGAGTGAACCATAATCACTAGGTTAAATCTCAATCTCCCTCTTCCCTTGGCAAGCATTTTGTGCTGATTTGTGTTTCTAACTTAACAAAGCATGCAAACGATAGAGGAGGAAAGAGGACGTGCCTTTGCTGATGTATACTTTTAATAACACAGTTATTGGGAGCCAGGCCTGGATTTCTTCAGATCAATAGTTTTAGCAGAAACACCAAAATCTGATTGAAATCTCAAAAACCTGCTTTGATTAGTATCTTGAGAGACAGACAATTCCAGGAAATATTTTGGTTTTCTGGTACAATGTGAGCAGAATGTGTTCCTAGAGATACCACTTATGTGGCCACATAACGAATGTAACTTAAAGAATAAGGAAAATGATGGTATCTGTTTCTTAATTTTTAAAAGTGGATGAGGCTTTGAGCAACCTGGGCTAGTGGGAGGTGTCCCTGCCCATGTCAGGGGGGTGGAACTAGATGATCTTTAAGGTCCCTTCCAACACAAACCGTTCCATGATTCTATGATTCTGTGACAGAGAGAAGGCTGCTGGCCCTGCAGTGCTGGCCCAGCCAGACCCAAGGACCAAACCACCTCCCAGTCCTGGCACCTCGCTGGGGCTGGCCCCGCGGGGAATTGGGCTCTTGCTGCAGGGCCAGGCTGGGCACAGCGGCACTGTCCTGGCGCCGGCCGAGCTCCATCCAGGCTCCTCGCTGCCGTGAGGAGCTCAGCGCAGGAGCAGGTCTGGCTTCAGGCTGTGATTTGACTCAAAAAGGAATGAAGTTTGTAATAATGCGTGTGGGAGGGGATTTGTACAGCTGACTTACACTTTGCTTTACTCCGAATAACTCATACATTCGTTTTCCTCCCATGTCCTGTATTTGTTATGTCAGTAACTCCCCTTCAAATCAGTTGGAATTTTTCCTGTTTGAATAGTTCCCACCCAACAGATCTGTTTATGGGATAT